CAGGACACTGCAATCGTCATAAATACATGCCAGTTGCCAAGCATCCAAATTTTGATCACATGACCACGGAGAGGCTGCAACAGTCAGCAAGTGTAAAAAAATGGTCAGAAGTCTCTTTTTTCAGTGAATGGCTGTAAGCTGAGGACTACCTGTACTGAATTTGGACAAATATTCCAACTGGCACATCCTTAATTGTTACTGCACGATTCTTCTTCACTGGCACATGAGATAATTGGAAGAGGCTAGAAGTACCAAATAGCACCGCATATAGATGATGGCACCTGAAGTTAGTGTGGAGACAACTACTTATGTTCACCCAAAGAATTCTCAGTTAGAAATTCCTGCTTAAGTGGGCAGTATCTAAAAAGACTCAACCCTCAAGCTGCCATTAATATAAATGTGTAGGAGTGCATTAATGTTTAGTTAGTGGTGTTATTTTAAACTATCCTTTGTTTTTAAAAATGAAAAGACAGAAGTATCCATGAACAACTATGCTAATTGTATATAAGCATTTCTGTGGTGCAGAAGCTAAAAGCGAAGAACGATTATTAGTTTGAAGTCTCAGCAGGGTGAAAAGCCTGTTTCAGTTTGAAAGCTCAATAGGGTCAAATCTTGTTAGTATTTGAAGGGGTGACTATAATGGAAATCCAGGGCTGAAGGCCAGTCTGTGAAATCATCATCATCATCATCATCATCATCATCATCATCATCATCACCATATCATCATCGAAACCCCCTTCCAGACTGTTGTCAAAAAAATCTACACAGTCGTGTTGAGAAATCACCAGGAATTGAGTTTGACTTGCTTTAATTTAACTTTTTAAAAATAATTTTGAAAGTTTTGATTGAACTTCTCTGCCTCCAAATGGTAAGAGATACTACAGTACTTACTGTGGGATCTGAAACTGACCGATAAAAACAACAATATGAATCTTTTGGAAGAAGATTGGTTACTTTTGATGTTCTGCACCACTCATTCCATAACTGGGCAGAGCCAACCAGCTCCCAGCTTCCAGAATTCAAAATAAATGAAGACAAGAATGCTGTGGACCAAATGAGATTTATTAGATGAATCACTAGACTGTTCTGAATCTATATTAGCAATCATTATTAGCAAGACTAAGCATTGCATGTCAATTTACACAGAGACCATGATCCACAAATTATTTTGGTTGATAGAAATGAACCAAGAAGACTTCCACAAGCTACTTCAGTGCTGAAAGAAAGAATGGCCATCTTCCGCTTCTCACCTACTGCATTGCCTCCAACACCCAAAATAAACTTTGAACAAGGAAACTTTTCTCCTGCCGATATGTCTGGGGTATTCCAGGTGATACAAACATCTCTAAGTATCAGAAAAAGAACATGATTAAAAAGATCTGAACAAAAGGCTACAGAAAAAAAACTTGAGTTATATCAGAGAAAAGCAATTTGTTGTGTGGAATCTTTGCTGCTCTCTGAGTTTAGTTGTTTCCTTGCAGACATTTCTATAGCACTGAAGATGTTATCTAATCCAGTAATGAAACATCTGCACATAAACAACCAAACTTCTACCTTCTAATGGTAGCAATTGGTACATCACACAATCACAACGAATACAAAGAAAACCTCTAAGCTTCCATAACAGTACCACTGACTAAAAAAATGCTTTCACTCTCCACTCATTGATACAGTGAGCAGCTTTTAGGCTGCTTTCCCAAGAAATGATCCCTGCACCATTTCCCCAAGGAAATCAAAAGTAACTAACCACTGGAAACAACACGGCTGCATTCACCTGAGACAATAAATGCAGACTAGGTAACTACAGGTAAGCTTAATGTGTTGCATGAATCCAGAATGTACAGTTAATAGTTCAGTATGTTGTAAAAGTGAAGAAAGCTGGATTAAAAATAAACTACAATAAAGAAATAAGTATTTAATGAAAACACAGCCTACATGCAGTTCTATGAAGCCCCAGGTTTTTTTGGTTTGTTAGGGTTTCGGTTGTGGGGTTTTTGTGTCTTTTCTGCTACACAATGTTTTTAAAAACAACACAAAGCAATGCTGACATTTCTCTCACACGTCTAATGATCACAAGTGCCCTTCTAGAGTTAATGGGGATGCACAGAAGAATCAAGCTCAAGTCCAGTCCCATCTTAATTAAATCAGGCCAGATACTAAGGATATTCAGGAAAGATGGGTTTTTCTTTGCCCCAAAGAGGACTAATGTAAGTATAGCGCTAAAAGGCTATTTCACTGCTCACTACATCATATATTCATATGTTATATTATGAAGTTTATAACTCATATTTATTGTACCAATCAAATATACTAGAAACTTAATTTGTTTGAGAGGCACTTCAGCCAAGTTTGCACTACAAATTATTATTGCTACATTCACATCCTATGCTAAGCTTGGTGAATAATAATGCTGGCTGGTTGTTTTTTGAAGCTTAGCATATTGCACAAGCTCCGTTTGTCCAACTCCTGATTTATCACATTGTGCAATCTCCATCCAGCAAGTTAACAGACTGAAGCAGTGCTCAGGTCCCCTTCCCATTTTTAAAAATTATGGGGGACCCCAAAAGAACTATCGTTTGTAGGGGTTATATTCGATATGCACCGTATTACAAATTAAAACCAACGCATTCTCTGATGCTACAGCTTCCCATGATCATTTGACGGAATTTTAGCGTTGTATCAATTATTGTATTATTTAAATACTTCACTTCCCAACGTTGGCCGGCAAATAATTTTGGTCTCGCGGACCCCTGAAAGGGTCTTGGTTGGGGGACCCCACTTTAAGAAACACTGGTATAAATCAACTAACAATGATTCCAGATCCACGTGCGCTGTGCACCCCTTTCAGCTATAGTGGGCGTTTTGGGGGAGCAGCACCCCTTTCCTCCGCGCCGACTTTTAAAGAAGAAATGCCACACTCTGAACGTGCTCAGAAGCGAAGGGTCCCCCCTCCCTCCCTCCCTCCCTCCTCCCCAAATCTTTTCTCGCTCGCGGATCTCTCCTGCTCGCGACCTTTTCTTCTCCAGCGCCAGCCGGATCTCACGATCCTCCTGAGTCTCTTCGCGCTCTTCTGCAAGCTCTTCTTCGTCATCCAGGCCGGCGCGGGACGGGGGTGTGACCACCTCCCCAAAAAACGTAGCCATCTCCGGTGCAAGCGAGCCGACTCACCGCTGGAGTAGCCGCTGGAGAGCTGCCGAAAAGCGCGTCTCCTTCCGGGTTAAGCCAAGCAGCTGGATCTGCGAGGATCGTCGCCTGGAGCTCAGCGAGCATGCTCGCCTTCAGCTCGGGTGATCGCTTTTAGTTTGTGGCAGCTCCGGCTCTTGCAGCGCCCTCCGGTGGCACAGAGCCGGATCGTCCACGTTTATATCGCGTTTCTTGGTCTTTAAATGCCTTGCGATTCTGGGTTGTTGAGTGGGTGCAAGTGTGGAGGTAGGGGAAGGAAATGATCTCTCGCCGGCTTACACAGTCTGATTCGATCTGGGAAGGCTTTGGAATAAACTCCGTGGTGGTTGGAAAGGCCGTTTTCATCACCTTCAGGGGCAGATAAAAGCTTATCCTCAGATCTGACTAGGAAATTAATAATAATAACATAACACCCCAGACTTAACAATTGTTGATAAGAAAGACAAAAAAGTCTGGATAGTGGACGTGGCAGTGCCTGGAGACAGCAGAATAGACGAGAAAGAACTGGAGAAGATAACAAAATACAGAGACCTACAAATGGAAATAGAAAGACTGTGGCAAAAGCAAGCAAAGGTAGTACCAATAGTAATAGGTGCCTTGGGTGCAATCCCAAAACAACTGGAGCCACACTTGAGCACCATTGGCATTGACAAATTCGCTATTAGTCAATTGCAAAAGGCGGCCTTACTAGGAACTGCTTCCATCCTGCGATGATATCTGTAATACCATCAAACATCCACATCTGCCTATCCCAGGTCCTGGGTAAGGACTCGATAGGTAGACAAAATGCCAAATCCAGTCTGAACATCTGGCTGACTGTGCGATGATCCATAANAAGCAGGAAATAGAATTCTCTCTTTTTCATTGCTATTTATTTGAGGGTTAGCAACCTTATTCACTTGCTATGAGCATCTCCAGAGAATCTACATGCTTACATGTTGATTTAATAAAGTGAAATTTAATCTAACAGCATTCAGTTAACTATAATACACTTAATTATTGTCACAGCAGATAGCAGCCTCTTAACTGATCTTGGTCAACCTCAGAACAACTAATCATGTTGGGCCTAGGGCAAGCTGCCCAGTGAAAGGATGGGTCACTAACCATTTCTGCCTGTAATCCATTATGCTTCCACAGCTGAAAAAACCCGAGGATGACTTAGTGCTCTGCAATGGGTGTTTCCCCCCACAACCTGCCTCAGGATGCTGTGAGCAGGCAATGGAGGATGTTCGGAGAGGCACTGAGAAAATGGCCAAGAACGACATTCTTCAGGCTGGAAATCTTATGGCTCCAACTGATTCTGCCATTTTCTCATGGGACCACTCACTTCAGTCTGATCTATGATCTTTTTACTCAGTCTCAATCCTCTAGCATGGTGGTCCCCAACCTTTCCAGCTCCACAGACTGGCAGCGGCAAGGGAGGGAGGGAAGGGATGGTTTCGCATGTGCAATCTAATCCCAGGTGTGCACAAATGGAGCTTCACGCACTTGCCCGCCGCTTTTGTGGACCGGTTCCCAATAGGCCACAGACCAGGAGTTGGGGACCTCTACTCTAGCAAAATTCTGGCTTCTGTAGCCTTACCCTTTCTCTCTTTTTTTAAATAAATAGGTCTACTACTGGATTGAAGAATGCAAATGTTTTGAAATTTACCAGCATGTACCTGTTTAAATTCATGTAAATGAAAGTGTAATTGAAAGGACTTGGTGTTATTTATTAATCAATTTTATATAGCTGCCCATCTCACCAAAGGCAACTCTAGCCAGAACACAATAATTCACCCATCTCCTTGCTATTCAGTGTAATAATTAAATCTTACCTCCACTAAACTTTTTAGAATTTTGGATGATAAGACAGGTTTGAAGGTTTCAATAGTTACTAAGTCCAGTTGGAGTATATCAGTGTAACATTGATAAAATATTGCAGGGATTTGCCACACCTGAGAGTAACTGAGAACTAAATGGAAAAGAGAGCAAAATAATTAATACATTCTTGGGATAACAGCGAACTACCAATTTATTAGACTGTAGCAGTATCTTGCGTTTTACTCTACAAAGGAAACCCAACTCAATGATTATGTTGATACACAAATTGTTACTTTTAACTTGCAACACTAATATCTGATTTGTAACGTATGTTTGAGGACCAAAGAAAGAATCATGTTCTGTTGTTCAAATATACTAGATTTCACCCATTATAACTTTTAAGCTAGGGATGAAGCTGGTTAACTCACACAATTTTAGTGAGCTAAATCACTACTTTTTGACTAAGGTACCTCAAAAGAGTAAATTTACAGAATGCACCCAAAATCTAGGATCCATAACTCCCATGGAATTGAAATTTGGTAAATTTTATGACATAAAATTATCATAAAGCATTTTATGACATAATACAAAATGTCAAAACATTTCTGGTGGTCAGCTCCTGATGTGTGTGCTACCATGTTTCCCCGAAAACAAGACTCGGTCTTATATTTTTTTGCATCCAAAAGAGGCAGTAGGTCTTATTTTCGGGGGATGTCTTATTCTTTTCCCCGATACCTGCCTCACCTTGTTGGCACCAACAGTCCAGTCCAGCAGGAGCCCCTGTGGCCGCCAGCCCACTTCTGCGGCTGCTTACGGCCACTTACAGCATGAAGCTGAGTGCTGCCACCACAAGGCGAGGCAGGTAGGGGAAGGGGTGGAGCTTTCCCAAGCACCCCATAGGTGCACAAAAACACTTTTCTCCCGGACGGAGAAATGATGGAGAATGGAAGCTTCGTCTGCCATTGTTGAAGGCACTGAGGAATCTGATAAGCAAATATCTTTGAAACAATGACCCAAGGGGGGTCATGGGTAGTCTTGTAAGTAAAAGTAAATAAATAAATGAATACTTATCAGAATTAAAAGTTCAGTGATTCAATAAGACTTGCTAGGTTAAGTTATAATATATTGATTTACAATTTGCATTTCTTGAAAAAAAAATGCTAGAAATTCTGTTAGCATAGGAAATACATAAGCTAAAATATGATAGGATTTGATGTTACCATTAGCCATCAAATACCACTAAAATGTATATATAATGTGCATAAATATTGTGTGAAATACCTGCTGCCGGGAGATCCCGTACAATATTTGGCTGTTCTAGAAGGGAGCAATAAACTTTGTCTTTAAACTCTCTTGTTTTCAATGCTTTCAGGAAAGGTGAAGGGAGAGTTAGAGTGGATTCAGTGGTTTTATAATCTGTTACAGGACATGCTGAAAGAACCAGTACTTGCAAATCAATCTTCTGTAGGCATCCAAAAACCTAAAAGGAAGATAAAATAGCAATAGCACTTAGACTTATATACTGTTTCATAGTGCTTTACAGCGATTTACAGAGTCAGCATATTGCCCCCAACAATCTGGGTCCTCATTTTACTGACTGGAAGGCTGAGTCAACCTTGAGCAGGTCAGGATCGAACTCCTGACAGTGGGTAGAGTTAGCTTGCAATACTGCACTTTAACCACTGTGCCACCACGGCTCACCAACATTCCTGAACCCAAGAGATGAACTAGGTCACACCCATTCTTGGCAGCCAAAGATACTGGGGGCTGCTAATGATTCTGCCCCTGCTGATTTCAATCTGATTTTTAATGTGAAGAAGCGGGGCTGTGTGTGGTTCAGATTCTAAGGTAAAAAAAGGAGCTATTCAGCACACACCATTGCACAGGCAATACCTTTCCGCAACTCTAATTTAAACCAAACATGACTATTCCCAGGATCCCTGAATAGCTGTGCAGCCTTGCAATGCCAGGAAGAGAGGCAGCTGCAGACATGTGCTTTCTGAAAATATAGTACATGTGCACTCCAAAGCATCTTTTTGTTTTCAAACCTGAATCACTATACAACCCCCAAATAATGCCTCTTTTCTTTTAGGTAAGGTTAAATGAAGCCACTCCTAGATAAATGCAGCCTCAGATTCACAACCTGCGCTATCCAAAACATAATCAAACATGCCTACAGAAAGGGAAGGGGCCTGGTGATTTGACCCTGGCCTTGATTGTCCTATTTCTCCTCTTTTACCTTTTCAACCCACTGAAACTGTTGGTCTTCAGCCACGTGACAATTGCATTGGCACAGTAAAATCTGAAAAGGATGAGAAATACATTAATTTTAGTGAAAGAGACACGAAAGCCTAATGCAACCAATCGACCCTCACCCCACCCCCTGGATCACCACAAGCTGCAATCTTCTGGGTATTTCCTTAGAAGTAAATTTCATGCAATACAGAAGAACCTACTTGTAAGTGAATATATATGTGCTTCCATTGAACATTATACAGGTAGTCCTTAACTTATGACCACAGTTGAGCCCAACATTTCCACAGCTAAGCAAGACAGTTGTGACTTTTGCCCCATTTTATGATCTTTCTTGCCACCGCTAAGTGAATCACTGCAAAACCTAGGAAAAGCTAATCTGTGTTTGTGACCTTCAAAGTTTTAACAAAAAAGAACAGCTGTGACAAAAAAAAAGACAATATCTGGGCTGTGGACAAAGAATTATAAATTTCAGAAAAAAAATCTTTTTTGAACTATTTGGATTACAAATATCTATTTAATTGGGACTCTATTTGCGGAGAAAAGAAAGGAAGAGAAAAATTCTTGGTCATCATGGATCAGAGTCATGTAGAAAGAACATATCAAGTAAACAAACACTTCACAGGAGGAGATATATAGTATACTGCAACTAATCCAAACAACAATGACTTTAAACTACAAAGAAATCAAAATAACTTTGAAAATATAAATCAATCTATTTCTAAGTTAACTCTACAACAAAAAAATTCCCAGAAAACAACAACAGAGAAGAAGCAGATAAAATAGACAAATGGATATAGAATTGAGAATAGAAATTTAAAGATGGAACTTAACAAAACAAGGAAACATGATTTAATCCTAGTGGAAAAAAATGTACAAGAATTGAAAAAAAACAACTTATCTCTTAAGACTACAAAATAAATCTGAGGACAAGAAAACAGATTGGATAAAATGGACTGTAGAGGTGTCAGGAACATTGGAGAGAAAGGAAATGATAAGAGAAGCGGAGAGAAAGAAAAAGAAAAAGATTTTCAACAAACATGGAAAGGCAGAAGCCCCGTACAAGGCACTTCACCTGATTTACTTTTTATACCTACAGCAACATTTACGAACATACGAAAAAACTTTTTGATTCAGCAAAATACATTAAGAAAGATACTGGGCAAAGGAAAAAGACTAAAATAGATGATGGGACAGAGAGAATACTTAAAAAAGAAACATATGGTTAAAGAAATAGAAACGCTTTGGAATATATATATCATTCTAAGAGGGACGAATTCCCTAAATAATATAGTATGTTTTTTTCCCTTTTTTGTTCTCTTTCTTGATATGAGTAATATAAAAAAGTTGAACTGACTTAGATAAAGGAAATGTTTTAGATACTTAAATGTGATTGAATTTAAGAAAATTATAGTGGATTAAAAATGTTTTGAATAAGAGTTAAAGGACTAGATGACTAGATGTATTAAATGGAATGTTTAAAGATTAAACATATTTTTAATTATGGTTAAAAATAAGAAATTTAGGAAATAAATATATATTATCTTAGGAGGGATACAGTATATATTTTATATAGTATGTTATTTTTATGTTTCTTTACTCTTGTTCTTCTTTCTTTTCTTTTCTTTTCATTGTTTTATCTATTCCTTAACAAATGTAAAAGTGTGGATGGTTTCGAGTTAAATTTTTAAATGTAATTAATTTTTGAGAAAATCTTAACCAGTTAAGAATACCTAGAATTTGGTGGGAGAAATAAATTAAAATAAGGACTGTAACAGGATCTATGGCAACCAGAATGATTGGATAGAAAAGAAATATTATATTGATGTGATTATTATTTTTAGGAATATTGGGGAAAATTATATATTTAATTGTTATCTATCAAAACAATGAGAATTGTATTAACTCAATGTTTGCAAAAGAGGATATTTTGGGAAAAGAGGAAATCAACTAAAACCATTATGTGGATTATGGATTATAGAAATCTATTGTTAATGATTGTTTTACAAATGTAACCCATACAACACACTGTTCACCAATTATTAAGTGATTTATGTTTAAAAAAATATCAATAAAATATATTACAAAAAAAAAAGAATCACTGCAGTTGTTAGGTTACTAACAGTTGTTTGACTTTGCTTGTCAAACAGTTGCAAAAGATGATCACAGGACACTGCAACCGTCATAAATACATGCCAGTTGCCAAGCATCCAAATTTTGATCACATGACCACGGAGAGGCTGCAACAGTCAGCAAGTGTAAAAAAATGGTTAGAAGTCTCTTTTTTCAGTGAGTGGCTGTAAGCTGAGGACTACCTGTACTGAATTTGGACAAATATTCCAACTGGCACATCCTTAATTGTTACTGCACGATTCTTCTTCACTGGCACATGAGATAATTGGAAGAGGCTAGAAGTACCAAACAGCACCGCATATAAGTGATGGCACCTGAAGTTAGTGTGGAGACAACTACTTATGTTCACCTAAATAATTCTCAGTTAGAAATTCCTGCTTAAGTGGGCAGTATCTAAAAAGACTCAACCCTCAAGCTGCCATTAATATAAATGTGTAGGAGTGCATTAATGTTTAGTTAGTGGTGTTCTCATTTTAAACTATCCTGCTTTGTTTTTAAAAATGAAAAGACAGAAGTATCCATGAACAACTACGCTAATTGTATATAAGCATTTGTGTGGTGCAGAAACTAAAAGCCAAGAACGATTATTAGTTTGAAGTCTCAGCAGGGTGAAAAGCCTGTTTCAGTTTGAAAGCTCAGTAGGGTCAAATCTTGTTAGTATTTGAAGGGGTGACTATAATGGAAACCCAGGGCTGAAGGCCAGTCTGTGAAATAATAATAATAATAATAATAATAATAATAATAATAATAATCATCATCATCATCATCATCATCATCATCGTATCATCATCGCAACCCCCTTCCAGACTGTTGTCAAAAAAATCTACACAGTCGTGTTGAGAAATCACCAGGAATTGAGTTTGACTTGCTTTAACTTTTTAAAAATAATTTTGAAAGTTTTGATTGAACTTCTCTGCCTCCAAATGGTAAGAGATACTACAGTACTTACTGTGGGATCTGAAACTGACCGATAAAAACAACAATATGAATCTTTTGGAAGAAGATTGGTTACTTTTGATGTTCTGCACCACTCATTCCATAACTGGGCAGAGCCAACCAGCTCCCAGCTTCCAGAATTCAAAATAAATGAAGACAAGAATGCTGTGGACCAAATGAGATTTATTAGATGAATCACTAGACTGTTCTGAATCTATATTAGCAATCATTATTAGCAAGACTAAGCATTGCATGTCAATTTACACAGAGACCACGATCCACAAATTATTCCGGTTGATAGAAATGAACCAAGAAGACTTCCACAAGCTACTTCAGTGCTGAAAGAAAGAATGGCCATCTTCTGCTTCTCACCTACTGCATTGCCTCCAACACCCAAGATAAACTTTGAACAAGGAAACTTTTCTCCTGCCGATATGTCTGGGGTATTCCAGGTGATACAAACATCTCTAAGTATCAGAAAAAGAACATGATTAAAAAGATCTGAACAAAAGGCTACAGGAAAAAAACTTGAGTTACATCAGAAAAAAGCAATTTGTTGTGTGGAATCTTTGCTGCTCTCTGAGTTTAGTTGTTTCCTTGCAGACATTTCTATAGCACTGAAGATGTTATCTAAATCCGGTAATGAAACATCTGCACGTAAACAACCAAACTGCTACCTTCTAATTGTAGCAATTGGTACATCACACAATCACAACAAATACAAAGAAAACCTCTAAGCTTCCATAACAGTACCACTGACTAAAAAATGCTTTCACTCTCCACTCATTGATACAGTGAGCAGCTTTTAGGCTGCTTTCCCAAGAAATGATTCCTGCACCATTTCCCCAAGGAAATCAAAAGTAACTAACACTGAAAACAACATGGCTGCATTCACATGACACAATGAATGCAGACTAGGTAACTACAGGTAAGCTTAATGTGTTGCATGAATCCAGAATGTACAGTTAATAGTTCAGTATGTTGTAAAAGTGAAGAAAGCTGGATTAAAAATAAACTACAATAAAGAAATAAGTATTTAATGAAAACACAGCCTACATGCAGTTCTATGAAGCCCCAGGTTTTTTTGGTTTGTTAGGGTTTCGGTTGTGGGGTTTTTGTGTCTTTTCTGCTACACAATGTGGTTATTATAGTAGTAACTAAGTTTGAAAAACAGCTACAGAAGACCTGAGAGGAAGGGAAACAGAAAAAAGAGAAAGGAAAAATCTCTTACATGCTCTTTCTCTACTGCAAATAACTCCACCTAATAAAGCAGCTTTTACTTCTATTAGGGAGGGCACATGTCTAGAGGAGATTTTTTGTGCTTAATTTTTAGTATTGAAATAAGAGGATCTTTTTAAAAACAACACAAAGCAATGCTGACATTTCTCTCACACGTCTAATGATCACAAGTGCCCTTCTAGAGTTAATGGGGATGCACAGAAGAATCAAGCTCAAGTCCAGTCCCATCTTAATTAAATCAGGCCAGATACTAAGGATATCCAGGAAAGATGGGTTTTTCTTTGCCCCAAAGAGGACTAATGTAAGTATAGCGCTAAAAAGGCTATTTCACTGCTCACTACATCATATATTCATATGTTATATTATGAAGTTTATAACTCATATTTATTGTACCAATCAAATATACTAGAAACTTAATTTGTTTGAGAGGCACTTCTGCCAAGTTTGCACTGCAAATTATTATTGCTACATTCACATCCTATGCTAAGCTTGGTGAATAATAATGCTGGCTGGTTGTTTTTGAAGCTTAGCATATTGCACAAGCTCCGTTTGTCCAACTCCTGATTTATCACATTGTGCAATCTCCATCCAGCAAGTTAACAGACTGAAGCAGTGCTCAGGTCCCCTTCCCATTTTTAAAAATTATGGGGGACCCCAAAAGAACTATCGTTTGTATGGGTTATATTCGATATGCACCGTATTACAAATTAAAACCAACGCATTCTCTGATGCTACAGCTTCCCATGATCATTTGACGGAATTTTAGCGTTGTATCAATTATTGTATTATTTAAATCCTTCATTTCCCAACGTAGGCCCGCAAATAATTTTGGTCTCGCGGACCCCTGAAAGGGTCTTGGTTGGGGGACCCCACTTTAAGAAACACTGGTATAAATCAACTAACAATGATTCCAGATCCACGTGCGCTGCGCACCCCTTTCAGCTATAGTGGGCGTTTTGGGGGAGCAGCACCCCTTTCCTCCGCGCCGACTTTTAAAGAAGAAATGCCACACTCTGAACGTGCTCAGAAGCGAAGGGTCCCCCCTCCCTCCTCCCCAAATCTTTTCTCGCTCGCGGATCTCTCCTGCTCGCGACCTTTTCTTCTCCAGCGCCAGCCGGATCTCACGATCCTCCTGAGTCTCTTCGCGCTCTTCTGCAAGCTCTTCTTCGTCATCCAGGCCGGCGCGGGACGGGGGTGTGACCACCTCCCCAAAAAACGTAGCCATCTCCGGTGCAAGCCAGCCGACTCACCGCTGGAGTAGCCGCTGGAGAGCTGCCGAAAAGCGCGTCTCCTTCCGGGTTAAGCCAAGCAGCTGGATCTGCGAGGATCGTCGCCTGGAGCTCAGCGAGCATGCTCGCCTTCAGCTCGGGTGATCGCTTTTAGTTTGTGGCAGCTCCGGCTCTTGCAGCGCCCTCCGGTGGCACAGAGCCGGATCGCCCACGTTTATATCGCGTTTCTTGGTCTTTAAATGCCTTGCGATTCTGGGTAGTTGAGTGGGTGCAAGTGTGAAGGTAGGGGAAGGAAATGATCTCTCGCCGGCTTACACAGTCTGATTCGATCTGGGAAGGCTTTGGAATAAACTCCGTGGTGGTTGGAAAGGCCGTTTTCATCACCTTCAGGGGCAGATAAAAGCTTATCCTCAGATCTGACTAGGAAATTAATAATAGTAACATAACACCCCAGACTTAACAATTGTCGATAGGAAAGACAAAAAAGTCTGGATAGTGGACGTGGCAGTGCCTGGAGACAGCAGAATAGACGAGAAAGAACTGGAGAAGATAACAAAATACAGAGACATACAAATGGAAATAGAAAGACTGTGGCAAAAGCAAGCAAAGGTAGTACCAATAGTAATAGGCGCCTTGGGTGCAATCCCAAAACAACTGGAGCACCACTTGAACACCATTGGCATTGACAAATTCGCTATTAGTCAATTGCAAAAGGCGGCCTTACTAGGAACTGCTTCCATCCTGCGACATATCTGTAATACCATCAAACATCCACATCTGCCTATCCCAGGTCCTGGGAAAGGACTCGATAGGTAGACAAAATGCCAAATCCAGTCTGAACATCTGGCTGACTGTGCGATGATCCATAATAATAATAATAATAATAATAATAATAATAATAATAATAATATAATAATAATAATAATAATAATAATAATAATAATAATAATAATAATAATAATAATAATAATAATAATAATAATAATAATAATAATACAATGAATCATGCCCTTCATCCACATAGTAACATTGGCAGAGTCTACCTACCAAGGCAAATAGATGGGTGTGGAATGTTGCAAGTACATCAGACGGTTGAAGAAGAAAAAATGGCTTTGGAAGAATATGAAGGAGGACAATGATGTAGATGCACTGAAGTTAGCATATCAGGAAGGCTTCCTTATTACTGGAGAGACCAAACTGGCCTACAAGAAAGACCAAATGAAGAACAGAATGGAGGCATGGGAAGACAAAGTACTACATGGCCAGTAGATTAAAAACAATAGCTGGGGAAGCAGACTTGGCAATTGGCTAAGAGCAGGAAAGTTGAAGAAAGAGACCGAAGGACTAATTCTAGCTGCACAAGACCAAGCGTTAAGGAGAAATACATACAAAGCCAGAATTGAGAAGACAACTGCCTATGCAAAGAAGTGCTGCCTATGCAAAGAAGCTGAAGAAACAGTGGACCACCTGGTAAACTGCTGCAAGAAGATTGCGCAGACTGACTACAAGCAGTGGCATGACAAAGTAGCAACAATGGTGCATTGGAAGATCTGCAAGAAATACCATTTGCCTGCAAGCAAGAACTGGTGGGACCATAAAATAGAGAAAGTCATAGAAAATGAAAAAGTTAAATTGCTCTGGGATTTCAGAATTCAAACAGACAGGCACCTGCCACATAACACTCCAGACTTAACAATTGTCGATAAAAAAGACAAAAAAGTTTGGTTAGTGGACATGGCAGTGTCTGGAGACAGCAGAACAGAAGACAAAGAACTGGAGAAGATAACAAAACACAAAGACCTACAAATAGAAATAGAATGACTGTGGCAAAGGCAAACAAGGGTAGTAGCAATAGTAATAGGTGCCTTGGGTGCAATCCCAAAACAACTGGAGCACTTGAACACCATCGGCATTGATAAATTCACCATCAGTCAATTGCAAAAGGTGGCCTTACTGGGAACAGCTTCCATCCTGTGATGATATCTGCAACACCATCAGACATCCAGATCTGCCTATCCCAGGTCCTTGGTAAGGACTCGATAGGTAGACAAATGCCAAACCCAGTCTGAACATCTGGCTGTGCGGTGATTAATGATGATGATGATGAAATGAATTCCTTTTATAACAAGGAATTAAGGGTGCAAGGTGCGATTCAGTGGGCTGGGTTGTACTATCCTCTTGTATCTCACATCTGTTGTATCAACTGTATTCTCATTCTGCCCAATCTGATAAAGAGGGCAGAAAACACTGGAGAGAGGCAATCCCATCACTAATTTTTTCCCAAGTGACAACAGCACCATGAATTTTGTTCTGGTAACCTACTGGGAGCCAGTGCAGCGGACTAACAGCAGTGTCATGAGCGCATTACATGCTGTGGCATTCTGGTCCTGCTTAAATTTCCCAATGCTCTTCAAGGCCAGCACCATGTAAAGTTTACAATAGTTTGATGGGAAAACAACTAACCTATGATGACTGTGAGCAGGATCCACCAATTGGCTGCTATCAACTCCTCAGATAGGAGCAGGAATCCAAGAGAACTCCCAGATTGGGCACCATCTCTGAGTGGGGTGGTGTAATTCAAGGTTAACGATGGAAAGTCACTAGATCTATGGGGCTGTAAAACCCACAACCACTCAGTCTTGTTAGGGTTAAGCACTGCCTCTAAGAGATGGGAAAGCACTGTCACATCATCATGAGGTGAAGATGTACCACTGAGTATCATCATCATACCGATGATACTTAAGCTGTGCCAATGGATGGCTTCACCCAGTAGTTGATAAGTAGAATGAACGTTAACAAACCTACAAGATACAACACAAGAGTTGTTGTTTGTTTCTCACTATCTTGGCAATTCATCCACTCAAGTCTCCCTCAAATATTCTGTAACATCAAAAAAGAATTCCAAATAGATGCTGGGAAGGAAAGGAAAAGGTGTGAAAGAATTCTTTGTGTAACTCTTGATACAATATTGGAAGAGGAAAGCAAGCTTGGAGTTGACACTTATCGCCAGCATTTCTTTTTTAAAATTAACTTAGATCTGAACAAAAAGTCCCAACCAATAACTTCAATGAAGATAAGTTTTAACCTAGATCATCACATTCTATTTGAAGCTCTCTTTTCAATAGAGAAATTGACCATTTCAAACACTCTACCAATTTCTGAAGGGGCTTATTTGGTTTAACAGATAATCCTCAACTTACAACCATTGATTTAGCGCCAAAGTTACAATGACACTGAAAAAAGTGATTTAGTCCTCACACTTATTCCCATCACTACCCTCATGTGATGAAAATTCAGGAACAGAATAGAATAGGAATCTGGAAGGGACCTTGGAGGTCTTCTAGTCCAGCCCCCTGCTCAAGCAGGATAACCTATTCCATTTCAGACAAGTGACTTGGCGACCTGCATGTCTTTACAATGGTTGCAAGGTTCCAGGATCATGTGATTCCCATTTGTGATCTTCCCAGCTGGCTTCTGTCAAGGAAAGTCAATAGGGTAAGCTGTATTTCCTTAATGTCCATGTGATTCACTTAACAATTGCAGTGATTTGCTTAACAACCATAGCAAAAGGATCAGAAAATAATGGAAATTCTGGTCTCAACTGTGGTTGTAAGTTGAGGATTTATCTGTACAGTATTCAATGAATCTAGCCTTTGTGGTTCATTCACAAAAGCATAATTCAGCAGGCTATGAGTTAGTTCAGCGGATTAGTCATTTCATATACTGCAGCCTACAGGGTGCGGTGTCATTCTGATAGAATGGAATGCAAAGTATCTGTCTGGAGTGGAGAATTTGGCCAGCATGTGGCCCCTGATTCCTATTACTTGGAATAAAGCATCCAGAAGTCACACAGCCTTTAAAACTAATGGTAGGTTTCTTTTTTTACCTGGAAGCACTCTTTGTATACGGTAACATGGCTGCTAGAAAATAAAACTATTCAGAATGAGGAGCTGCATTCATTGCTGAATTCTAGCAGACAGCATCCGTGCGATGGGCCCAGTATTTTCCATTTGATTTTAAAGTGTCTCAGATAAAGTGTTGAGTAGAACATAAAGACACGTCCAATGTACAATGATTCAGCCGTAAAAAAATTATAATGAAAATTATGTAATTTATTTCAATGTGTCAAGCAAATTGTCCCCTAACATGGGAACATCACACAAAGAACATAGTTAAAAATCTGGAAACATTTACATTGAAAGTTAGCCCAGACTGGCAACACCACTAAATATTTTAAGGCTGTATACATACATACATACATATATATACAGATATATATAATATATATACTGCTATATATATATACTGCTATATATATATAGCAGTACTTACCACTTGGAATTACTTCAGGCCAGAAAAGAAAAGCTTAGTACTGGCTGCATTTCTACATAAAATATTGCAAATCTTTTAAAAATGGTGTAAAAATAGGAAGACTATCAACAGATTTGGAGGATGCAGAGGCAAACCCTTACTATAAATGTACCTAAGTGCACACAAGATTTGAAGATGCCTTCAATCAGTCAGTCAGCCCTACATAGGGGTAGTAGGATATTATATAATACTGTACTAGCAATCATCCTTGATAGAAAATACAGGGAAGCCGAACAAATTGATTGCAAGTAATCAATTTAGAAATATGTAGAAGCAGTGATTTGCAACTGCTTGCGTATCTGTCTTGTGTGCTTCAATAAATAAAAGGTCTCTTGGTGGCAAAAGGGAATCCTGGTGAATCCCAGTACCTTAGGGATTTTGTGACATACAAAATTACCTATAGGACACAGTGCTTACATGCTCATCTCAAAATAATGATACAGTTCAGAGGCATTCTTTTCTATAATGCTTATTATGTCTCAATCGTGTGTGTGTGTGTGTGTATGTGTATGTGTGTATCACGGCTATCTTATGTAGGCTGCAAAATTCAGATGAGTAGGGGTTTTCTCTATCTTGGCTGCTTTCCAGCAAACATCTGGATTTTTGCAACCCAAATTAAAAAAAAACAAAACTGATACATAAGCAGGCCTATTTGGCTCACTGACATAATT